AGTCCCACCTGCTGAGAAAGTGACTGATGAAAATAATGCATCTTTCCTCACCTTCTGCTCTACCTTATGCAGATATAGCAAGGAGTGTCTACTCTTGCAAATATCCATACATACATGTGTTCGTATATATGTACACACACATTTCTTGCCATGTATCCCTGTGTAACCTGCTTTTCCATGTAAGATTAGTTTATTACATAGGATGTATTTCGTTTATAAAGAGGCCTAGCATAGATGGCACCTTTTATGGTTTCTAGTTTTTGCTGGTTTAAACATTATTAAAATAAAATCCATGATCAGCAGGTGGCATGGTGGTTAATGTGCTGGACATTCCTACATGGCCAAACACAGTTCGAGTCTCAGACCTGGTGGTTTGCTTTCTCACTTTCCTTCTCTCTGTGTGTTTGTCTTTCTTTGGTCAAATGAAAATGATTGAATGAGTAAATAAAATTAAAAAAAATAAAATCCAGATGCACATACATTATGCACATATATATCTCTGCACATTCATGTGTGTGTATATATATATATCCACATAGATGCAAACACATACATACCTATCTTCATATTCTCTTATTAATGTGTAATAGGTCATTACAAAGAAGTTGTTGGACCATAGGGCATTATACTTATTTTTATTTTCAGTGTCGTCTGATTTTATAAATAAATGTAAGTGTAATTTTGTTCTATTTTAATTTCACTGCTCGTGCTCTCGTTCTCTAAATTCTTAAAGTATGTAAAGAATTCTCAATAATTTTTTTCTCCACAATGACTCCTTTTTGAAAGAACTTTCATATTGTGCCATGCTTTATTGATTCTCATAGCAATTGCCTTGGCAAAAAACCTGTATATTAAATCTAATCTTGGTTTCTTTTCATATTCTATTTCTATTAATGTGATGCTATCAATGAAGACTGTGCCTAACCCCAATTTATCAGCTTCTGTCTTCCTGTTTTTCCAACTTTACCCTTTATTTTTACTTTCTTTTTATGGATTCCCATTCAGCCAAGAATTATATGAGCAAGCTTGTTTCTTTAATTTCCTTCATTTGTCCACAGAGACCACTATCACCCCTGGCAGCCTGTGTCCATGTTTGATCAACCATTTAGTCAAAAAGTCATTTGAGAAATGAGAGTAATAATTAAATGTCTCACTTTACCTGCAATGGCTTTGATTATGCTGGGCCTTTGGCCAAACCACCTCTATGACCTTGGTTTTTGGCAGTAATAGGAAGGTAATATCTGTTGAACAGGAATGAAACTGGTGCTTTTCCTCAGTACCCTTGAAAATTCAGATCTATAAACCACTCAAAGAAAGCTTAATGTCCTGCTAAAGAAAAAAGAAAAACCCTGTATAGAGCTGGATAAGATTCAAGTCAATATGTTATATATTATTAAACTGCCTTTTTACTGCACAGATGTTATTTCCAGAAATTTTCCACCATTGTGGATTTTATATATTATAAACAAGCAAACAAAAAGGTTTCTCATTGGCTTACCTTGATACATTTAAGATTCAATGCTTCAGTAGCATGGAATCATTTTTTAAGTCCACATTTTAACTCTCTCAGTTATAATTATTTTACCTTTGCACATACAGTATTTTGCCCAAATTTCATAGGTAGTAGTCTCTTCTTGAGCAAGAATACAAATAAGATTCTTGAATTTTCTATATAATATAGGCACTCCTTTGTCGCCTGCATATCTGACTTTTGGAGCTTGTGCTTTTCACTTTAATCAATGGCACAAAATACTTGAACTCCAGCTACTCATTGAGAGATGAACTGTCTCACTTGATAATGGTGGGAGACATTGCATGAAGATCAAATTAGGGTGTTAGCAAGTGGTATGCTGGTTAAGGCAGCTGGACCCCACACAGCCAACTGCATGGCTTATGTCCTGAACCAGTGGCTTAAAGAACACACCAAGTGTGTGTGCATGTGTATCCCAGATCCCAAGAGAATGGAAGTAAAGGGATTGTCTTGTGGCCATCCCTGCTGAAGAGTGATTTCTTACATTCCCTCTCTCTCCCTTTCTCTCTCTCTGGGGAGCACATGTACCTTATAGCAAACCAAGAAGTCAAAATAGGAGCCAAGTTTATTTTTGAGAAACATAAAACAGAATGTGTGTCAAGTAGCCATCTCTTGGATTTTCTAAGCTTTATATTTATATAATTGCAAAGCTACATTCCAAGGCTATTTGCTTGTATTACTCTAGAAATGACTTCTGAAAAAGATAATTTAAGTAATGTAATGTAAAGAGGCAGTCATGTAAGAAAATATTTCTGCATCATCTACCAAAATTCTCTTATTTCTGTTTGTCCTAAGGCATATTGCTTTACTTTTCTAAATCATAAATTTCTAGAGGGCAAAATTAAAGTAACAGATTACACTATTTGACGTTTCTAATGCTCATATTCAGTAATTTTATAATGATACATACTGAACAGGCTGCTTTCAGACACTTAAGCGAGGAAAAAAATGAGTCATTTCTAAAGAACTAGGATGCCTTCTTTAATCAGACAGTAAGTAGAAAATCATCCATTGGGCTTTCTTTACCCTTTGGCTACTAGAAAACTCGCAATCTAATTTTATGTTTTGTTGCTATTATTTTCTTATCCTAGTTTCCTAGTGTAATGTCGATCATCTCTATAGTTGATTTAATTTTTATTTTCTAAAATTAATTTTACTTGTACTATATGTGTTTTACTCTAAGCAATGCCATGTCTTTTGAGAAGTAGAGGGAACTACATATAAGATATTTTCTTTTGACTGTTCAGTTGTATTCTACTTACTAATTTTTTCTTGAATATTATCTTAATATTTTTGAATAAAAATCTCTTTTGTTTAACTAAATAAAACTGTGTTATTAATATAAAGATTTGGGGCTGTGAAAAAATACTCAAAGAAGATGAAATGTATCCATCATCCTTCATGAATTGTTCAGTTGTAAGAAACGGAAGCTGCTCAGACAGGAGCCAGAAGGGGCACTGACTGAACAGATGCCAGGGCTTTAATACACCCACAGCCAGAAAAGGCAGAGAAAGCTTATTTGTCCACTTTATTTCCTTTCTCTGTAAAACTGCTGTTGCTGCTTTGGTAGACATGTCACTATATGCGGTAGAACATGACTGATTTGTCTTTTGTTTTACCATGAATTTCAGCTCACATTCCCAAGGACAGAGGATTTGATTGTCTTTGCCGGTAGACCAGGTGCTTACTGGCAGAAAGCGCTGAGTCCTACCTTTTCAGCAGTAGCTGTAGGGAATGATAGTTTTCAAAAAGATTTGGAATATGATGGGCTTGGGTAGGAGTGTTTCTTATTCTCCAAAGGCAACTATAATCTCTGTCACCTTGCTATATAAATATGTGCTGTTTATATTTTTGTAAAGTTATTTTAATTTTTTCTAGGATCATTTTATCACTGCATATAGTATGTATGAACTGGATTCTGTAATTTCTACTTACCCATGTCACACATACATTGTTTTCTAATCCTTGAAAACTTTCCATAAAGATACTTTGTCATGTCTTTTTCTCTTTCTTTTCCTTTTTCACCATTGACATGAGATTTCTCTCAGTGATTATCTTCCAGTAATGGCCTGGGTACCTAATTAAATTTTTGTTACTGCAGTATCACTATTTTCTCATTTACTGCTATTTCATTCAATGAAAAATAAAAATAGTGTGGATTGAAAATTACCAAAAGGAATACAGCTATTTTCACCTAATCTAGAAGTTTAATAATTCTAACAGTTCTATTATTCCTGTATGTTAATATAATTACAGAAGATAGGCATTTTTATGGTTCATGGTTCACTAAAACAGATAAAATTGCAGCTTATGGCTTGTCTTGCTTGCATTGTTAAGAGTATCAAATTAAAGTAACTAAATGAATGTTCCCTTAGAAGGACGAGGTATTCTCCATTTGCAAGACATCTTTTTTTCTTACAATATCAATTTCCATATCAGTCATAATGACTAAAACTCTCCAATTCGATTATTTCAACCAAGTAATTCAAATGAATTACTAGAAAACAAACCAAACAGCATTTTTTTTCTTTTCAATTCCGTTCTCATTCCTGAAAGCATGTTGCTTTTCATTTGCATCTGAAGCTGTAGAGAAGTAAATGCTGTCCCCACCACATTCTCCTCACATTAAGGATGACAGAGTAGGAAGGCACAGTGGTCAGGTCAGTTCTGTATAGTTGGATACTTTCTTCACGGTCCTCTATGTCCATACCTGGAGCTCAAAGCACTCAGCCATGTGCTCACTTGCCCTTAGGAGAGTGCCAGACCACCTTTCTTTCAAGCATCCATCCGTAGGGGCTGGGCTAGAAAGACAACTCCTCCAGGATCACCTGGCATCTAGGTCATAGTTTTCTGTGGTTGCATAACAGGTGATCACAAATATGGCGCCTTAAAGCAACACAAAATCTATGATCTCAGAGTTCTGCAGGTCAGAAGCCCAGGTGGATTCAACTGGTTTCTCCTGAGCATCTCAGAAGACTGAAATCATGTGAATATTTTTCGAAATCAAAATGGAATCATTTATGCCAAGCTCAACTAACCAAATCAGGATGACAATGGAGAAGGTGTCTATTCACACTTGTATGCCTGATAACATGAACTGTTACCTATGGAACACCTACAGAACCACAACCTTGTACAAAGACCACTGCCTCCTGACACACAGAGTACTTGTATGAACACATGTGCCTAGGGGCTGCCTGCCCAACCTCAGACTAACACCACTCTTTTTATGGATCCTGAATCAAAGATAATTATTCCAAAACAATTAGTGTAATGATTTCAAATACTTGCTAGTACAAGCAGCATTGTACTAAAATTCTTTGTTCTTATATTTTGAATACTTTCTAGAATGTAAATGTATCATGTACCACTAGGAGATTGTTACTGGGTCAAAATGTTCCTTTCAGATGGAAAGCTATGAAAGAGCTATTAAAATTGTATCAGTTTTTTTTTTTCTATTTCTTCACAGCCTTGCCATTTCTGGGTGTTATCAGTGAGATAGGCACAATAATATCCCCCAAAAGGTGCCCATGGCCTAATCCTCAGATCCTGTGAGTATGCCATCTTGTATTACAAAAGTTACTTTTCAAGTATGATTAAGAGTCTTAAGAAAGAGATTATTCTGAATTCTAGGTAAATCCAATGTACTCACAAGGGTCCTTATAAATGAAGGAAGCAGAGAAGGAAATGTAAAGAGGGAAGCAGAGGTTGGCCTGATATAATTGCTGTCTATGGACCACAGGTCAAGGAATACGGGCAGCTTCCAAAAGCCAAGAAAGACAGGAAGACAAGGAATTTTTTCTTTTGTTTCCTACAGACACCAGAAGTAATGCAGCACTTGTGGCAAATATTTGAAATACTTAAGTATTTAGTAAGCAGGGAGGGAGTCAAGAAAATGTGACATATATATGAAGTAGCTTTCTATATTTGTATAAATAATATTGATTTGGATTTATGACCTAATATAGAAAGTTGCTTCAGATACAGAATTAATTGCAATGGGAAAAATAGAGTTCTATTATTTCATTTATATGAAAAAAAGTCTTTTCTATTTTATACATTGTCCTAATTGCTATTTTCTTTTTAAAGAATTATTTATTATTTATATACATATATATTTTATTATTATTCATACATTAAATCTCTATACATCATTTAGATTGTGAAGAGACTTTACCCAGCATGATGTGCACCTCAGTCCAGCCCAGTTGAGATCACCACACACATCTTCAACAGATAATCTTATGTGTCCCACATTTCGTTATATAAATAGTACTAAAAATTAATAATGCTAATGATTAAATTTATTAAATTATATATTCACTTACTTAATAAGTTCATTATAAATTAAATATTTATTCAAAATAATATTTATTTATTATTATTACTTTTTAATATTTTTTCTTTTTTGGAAGAGGGTTGTTTTTTTTTTTTTTTTGCTATAGGGCACATGTGTTCACTAGAAAGACAGAGAAAGACAGAGAGACAGAAAGAGAGAAATCACCCCCCCAGGGGGGATGGCCAACGCCGCAATCCCTTCTCCTCCCTTCTCCTCTCGGGATCTTGGGCATGAACACACATGTGCCCGGTTACTTTTTAATTAGACCAGAGAAAGGGAAAGTGGAAAAGTAAGCCACCAGGTCAGGGACCAGAACCACCATTACCCACATGAGAGTCCAGCACCTCAACTTGCACACCCTATCTTTTTTTCTTTTTTACCATGAGCAAGAATTATTTTTATTACAAAAAACAATTACCACATAATATTAAAGAGGTCTTACACTTCTTCAGCAAAGCCATTTGCAAGTTTATGTGCCAGACTAGCCTTTCAAGGATGTGTGGATAGTGAAAAACCTCGGAAGATACAGATACTGTCTCCTTCCAGAGGGAAAGGCAGATTTGCTTGGGGTGCACTATAATCATGTTCCCTGCTTCAAAATTTGGACTAATTTGCTCACAGTTTTCTTATAAAAGATTGGGTTTTCCTAACTCTGGACTCCCCAGCCCAACTGAACTCACGCTCATCACATACGGTCACCTGCACCTCATTCCCTACCTCCATGCATCTTAGCAGGGAGCAGGAAGAGGCAAGCACAGATGCAAACGCAGAGCTCATACCATGTGTGGTGCCTTGAGCAAAAAAGGACTTGTGTGTCTAATCCAAGTTTCTGTGTCTTCTGACAGTGTCTGTGAAACTGTGGCAGGCTGTACATTGTTAGCCTCCAAATATTGTAACATCCTTTCATAGTCTTGACAGGTAAGTTACACAACAATTTAATTAAAAGAAGACACTTGAGACTGTAATTAAGATACAAAAATTAATTTAGAAATTAAATGAGATATAACATTTGACATAAAGTTAGATGAAGTATTCTAAAATGATTGAATCATCCATTCAGAGAAAGAAAAATTACTTGGTTGTCGGGAAAAATCATGACAGAATTTTCCTATGTTTTCCTATGCACAAATGTATAATGACTTTTCCAACAACCCAATATTTAGTGTCACAGTTTCTGGTATGGCAAGAGAGGGTCACTTTAAGAGTGGCTGACAAACTGTAACACATTTCTGTTGAGGTGTTAGAAACATCCTCATCTCTGAGCACTGTGCTCATGAAAAAACTAGGTTGCATTAGAATACAGCAATATATCATTGAAAAGTAGTATAATAAACATCAAGATTCCATGTATTTCTACAGAAAAGTCAAATCATTTTAGAGTGCCAGCAACAAACTCTAAAGAACCAAGACTTGGATAAGTTTTTCTTTAAAAGTTATTCACAGAAACATCGAATTTAAAGGAAATGTTCAGGTATTAATATAATTTTGCTGATTGAATTTCATTTTCCACGTCTTCAACATACTTTCCGTTCTTATGGATAGCAGTAACATTCAACAGTTGAGAGAATTAAAATTAAGTACTCTCATTTACAGTCAGCTTAACCCCTTATCCATTTCCATAAAACTTCCAAGAGCCTAGTGAGAATTTTTCCACTTGGCTCAGAATATAAGGCTTGTACCAATCCAGGGGAAAAGGCATCATTTCTTATTCTCCACAGGAAAGAAGAATTTTAAGCACAGTCTCTATGAATCTGATTTTATATAAATGGAAGGTTGTGAGTCTGTACTTTTGCCTTTGGTGACAAACAGCTGCCTTCAGTCACCTAATTCATTTGATTAATAGTGTACATCCTCTTTCTCATTTCCTCAATTCCCAGCTTATTTGTTTGTTTTCGAGTCCGATTATTTCATTCCTTAGTCTAAAATCTTGAATTCGAAGGAACCTAAAGTTCTTACAATAGCCCAAGTAACCTATATGATTCTACAAAACTTAGACACTCAACTTTTTTTTCACATCTATTGCCCCCCAACCAAAAATATTTAGATATATATTTGTATTTACAGAGCCTAAGGCAAATGGTTACATGTAAGACATTTATTGGGGGGATGTGATTTTGGAAAACCATGGCATGGAAACTAGGGACAATAAGTGAAGAGAAACATGTCCAAGGAGATAGGTGTTACTGAACTGGTTACCTACCCCTCTACGGGTAACTGTGGCTCAGTTCTACCAGGTGCCCCTGAGGTTGTAGGTGGTTTGCACCTAGCTATTGTTAAAAAGTAAACTGAGGCACCCTAAAATAATATCTCTGAGTCTGTTAGGACACATAGAGAATTATAAACTGGGCATCTCTAAACCCATGGTTCAGAAGTTCTGTTGAAGAAATGCAAGGGAGAGCCTTTTCAGGGACAAATGCAGAAGTAAAGCGAAGAAAATATTTGATTGGCCATTATTATATGGTTGCCTCATTTAGTTGATCACACTGGGAAGTCCCTGGTTATATAATTAGTTTATTGGCTGCTTTTGACTGGGTGAGCTTATGTTTTGTTTATGAGACATTTATGCGAAATGATCCAAGGTAAGTTTTGTTTATGTTTGCAAATCAGGCAAGGTGAAGGCTATTTGTCTCATCTACCTGGTCATGTCTGCTCAAGGATTCTCCAGTCCTGGTCTCTATTTTTACATACTTTAACCTGGTGATGGTAAACTTTTATTCACCAGCAGGCATCCCCCATTGGTCATGAGGTGCTCCAGGAAATATTATCTTCACACTTCCAGGTGTAGTCAGGTGACTGTCCCAGATATGCAAGGGTACCGTCTGGGCCCTCCCTGCCTAGTTGAAGCAACAGTGGCCAGAGAAGAGGAAGGATGGGACATCAGAGAAGCTTAGGTAGCCCCCACCCACACTCACACAATATCTCGTTTAGCTTCTCTCCGACTTTCTCCCTCCTTCACACCTGCGGCACCTTGAGCACATCAAGCAACCCTCTGCCTTGAGGTCTTTGTGTCGGCTGTCTCTTTAGCATGAAAAGCTACGTCCCCCCTTGTAGCACCTTCTTCAAGCCTTCGCTCAGACTGCATCTCCTCAAGGATGCCATTACTGATCTGTGTCATTAATAACACCTCATGCCCTCCCCTCTTCCCCATACTCTACATTCCCCGACTCCAAAGCACTAGTCCCCACAAACTCAACTCCCAAAACCCTGCTCTATGCATCTTCTGTCTTCCTTAACGATGATTATCTTCCAACATACATCTAATTTATTTATTCTGTTTGTCACATATAACCTGCTTTCTCATCCAGGATCAACAAAGTCAATGCCCCTTTAGGATTGTTGTTGTTGTTGGTTTTGCTTTTAACTGATTAATAAACATATGTCAAGTAGAATTTAGTCCCATTTCAGTACTTTTCTTTCAGAATGTGTTTTGATTTGGATTAAAAAGTGTCAGTAAAGGGACCAGCAGTTAGCGTAATGGCTATGTCACTAGACTCCCACGTAGTCGACCATGGATCGAGTCCCAGACCCGGTGGCTTAAAACTCACACCAGGCGCATGTGCATGTGTGCCCAAGATCCTGAGAGGAGAATGGAGGAGAGGGGATTGAGGCATGGCCATCCCCCCTAGGGGTGTGATTTTTTGCTTTCTGTCTGTCTGTCTCTGTCTGGCTGGCGAGCGCACGTGCCCCATAGCAAAAACCTCTCAAAAAAAAAAAAAAAGTGTCAGTAAAGATAATTTCTCAGTTTCAAAAAATTGAAATCAAGGGACTAGATGGCTTACCTTTATTTTTATTTATTTATTTTTTTTCCCAGACACCAATGCTCTTAGAGGAAGGTAATGAAAATGTTCAAGATTAATAAATGCTAATGCTTTAATTTAAAGTAGCTTGCACCTTTACTAAATTTCTAGAATAGTTAAGTGCAAATCTCTTGCAACTTAATTTGTTTCCTTATTATAAGCCATATGTTAATATATCCAGTTGAATAGGAGAAGACTTCAAAAATTTCACGGAAAATACATATTATGAAAAAACTCTGCATAGATTGTAAATATTTTTGCATCAAATAAACTCATAGTGACTTGTTATAATGTGACAAGACAGCATATAGTTTGAAGCAGTAGGAAAATAAGACATTAGTTTGAAGAGACTTCCTATCACAGTAGCATGAATTCTACTAAAACGTAGTAAGAACAAACATCAGATTTATAGCAAAGCTTGGCTGAAAGCCTAATAAAATCACTGATATTTTATAAAAAGTTTATAGTGCAGTGCCCCAAAGAAATAAGCAGTTTACAAGTGGATAAAACATTTTAAGAAGTAATAGGACAATGCTGAAGGTGATCCCTGTGGCAGTAGGCCATCTATGAAAACACCCACTTGTGAGGAAAAATTTCATCTTGTCCATGCTCCAATTGATGAGGACTGACAATCAGCAGAAGCAGTAGCCAACACCAAGCTATCTCAGTTCATGTTACCCAACTTTTTTTTTTGGTCACCCAGAACATTTGAGAATTCTGTTCTAGAGATCTTATGGTTCTTAAGTCTCTGTGTTGGAATTTGTCACTAGGGAAAAACTGTGTTCAGTTACATTTCAAAGTGAAAATTCCCTGTATGTTCTTCATTATCCTCTGGAGAGAACACAGTTCTTTTTTCTTTAAATAAAGAGATTTTTGCTGTAGGGCATGTGTACTTGCTGGAGAGAGAGAGAGACAAAGAAATCACCCCCCATGGGGGATGGCCATGCCGCAATCCCTTCTCCACTCTCTTCTTGGGCTCTTGGGAATCCCTATAGTTTAGCAATATTTTGCAGCCTTCATAGAGCCAAACAGGTGTCAGAAAAATTACCCCAAAGTTAGAAATAATCAAAAGAAATTACTAGAAGTTTGTTCAGTGCATGTTGGACTTGACATTTTACTTATTGCCTCTTTTTCCACTATATAACAAAAAAGGTTAATTCATAATTTTTCCAATACAAATGCAAACTATTTTTTTGAATAAGGTCAAAGAATCTCAAGATGTATTGCCCTGTAAGACATACTAGTTTCAGATCGACATCATACCCCCTTGGGTACATGCTTACATGAGTCCTAATTTTACTGTTTTGAATATGACATTTTAATGTATTACGATCAATATGAATGTACTTTTTGCTTCAGCTCCTTTGAATTAAATTTTCTTAACTTACAATTAAAATTTGCCACACATACAATGACACTTTAGAGTGGAGGGACCAGCAGATGGCATAATGGTTACATTGCTGGGTACTAAACACGTACTCAACTGCAGTTCACGTCCCAGACTTGGCAGCTTAAAACTCACACCAGGGGGCCAGCAGTTAGCGTAATGACTATGTCGCTGGACTCCCATGTATTCAACCGTGGTTCGAGTCCTGGACCCGGCAGCTTTAACTCACGCCGGGCGCGTGTGCGTGCGTGCCCAAGATCCCGAGAGGAGAATGGAGGAGAAGGGATTGCGGCGTGGCCATCCTCCCTGGGGGGTGATTTCTCGTTTTCTGTCTCTCTGTCTCTTTCTGTCTGTCTGGCGAGCACACATGCCCTATAGCAAAAAAAAAAAAACCTCTCCAAAAAAAAAAAACCTCACACCAGATGTGTGTGTGTGTGTGTGTGCGCATGCCCAAGCTCCCAAGAGAAGAATGAAGGAGAAGGGATTGTGGTGTGGGCATCCCCCCACCGAGGCTGATTTCTTGCTTCCCATCTCTCTGTCTCTCTCCTCTCTCTCCAGTGAGCACACACACCCTATAGCAAAAATCTCTCTTTAGAAAAAAAAAAAAGTTTGTGGAAAGTGGAATTGAAGTACAGGTTTATTTAGGTGCAAAAAGTTTTGAAATCAAATATGACTTTTCTATAATATGCATTTCTCATAAACATTCTGAACACCCCAAATAGACTCCTTTCTTGAAGTTTTAGATTTGCTCATATAAACTGACGTATGCTTTGTAAATTGTTGAACAGACTAAAAACTAAATAACACACTTTCACATATTTAAGAAACACAAATCTGAACTTCTTGCATGTAAAGAATAATTCATATTCGTAAGTATAACTTCATTTTTAATTTTTATAAGCATATAATGTTATATAAGAAACCATTGGTAAAATAAAGCATTCAAAGACATATTTCTCTAACACTTACAGCAATGGCCAATGATATGATGTGTGATTAAAATATTTTTAATTGATTAGATATTCCTCACATTTATTCTGCCTTAGGATCACAACAAAATATTTCAGGGATGTTAAAGTAGAAGAAAATATGCGTCTTAGAATGAATGAAACCCTCCTGTTAGAATTGATGAAAGACGGCATATCACTTGTCAGAGAAAGATAAGCACTATCGAAAAGGTACAATCAAAACTTTTGGAGTGCCAAAGTGAAAAACATAATTTTTGTTGGAATGATCAAGAAAATATTGCTGGAGTAAGTGTTATTTAAGATGGGCTTCGATAAATTGGGAGTTGACAATCTGAGTTTGTCTTTCAATATGACATGAAAAGGAAAAATAGAATAAAGCAAAGAAAGTGTGGGCATGCTTGGGCATAGCAAGTGCCAAACCTCAATGAAGTGTAGGGGTTTCATAGAGTGAACTATATTCCCCCAAAATGTTAAACCCTAAGGTAACAGTATTTGAAAATAATTTAAAGATAGTGCCTTGGAAAAGGTGATTAAGGTTAAATAAAGTCGTAAGAATATGGCCCTAATTCGGTAAGACTGACATTTTTGTTTGTTTGTTTGTTTGTTTGTTCGTCATAGGACATGTACGCTTGACAGAGAGAGAAAGTGAGAAATCTCCCCAGAGGGGATGGCCGTGCCACAATCCCTTCTCTATTCTCCTCTTGGGATTTTTGGCCATGCACTCACATGTGCCTTGATTGACTTTCAAGCTGCTGAGACCAGGACTCAAACTGTGGTCAGCCATGTGGGCATCCATTGCTTTAACCATAATGACACTTGCTGTGGCCCTGGCATTCTTATAAGAAGAGAGATCTCTGTCCATGAATACACATGTAAAGACACTGTGGGTCAATGATTCTATAAGCCAGAACTGAGATCTTTCTGAAAACCAATCCCAGCAGCACCCCGATTATGAACTTCTAGCCTCCTGAACTGAGAAAAAATATGTGTCCATGGTTTAAGCCACTCAGTCCATGGAATTTTGTGTGTCAGCCTGCTTACACAAAGATGGAGATGTGAAATAGTAACAGCACATGCCATTCCAGGACCTTAATTTACTAACAGCCATACTGCTTTGTACGTAGCATCTCTATTTCACAAAACCTCTACTTGGTACGTTTTCTTTCATAAGTGGTAAGGATACAGATTTAGTAGCTTGATCCCAATCATATAACTCATAAATAGTAGAACAAACTTCACATTCATGCCGGGTAACTGGGGATGTTCTGAGGCTGGTTTTCACAGAATCTTGTGAGCTGATTATACACATCTCTTCCCAAAGGAGCATGCTGAAAATCAGTCACGGTTGGAGTATTCGTACTATAAAATTGGGAAAGCACAGAAAATCTGTACCTTTGTTCCAGGAAACTGGTTATTAAACATTTACCATTGCAACACAGATGGCGATGCATTACATCTTACATAAAGGAAGAGAAAAAAACCATGGAAGGGTAGGTTGAGGTGATTCCACAGAAGGTTTAAATGTTGATTAAACTTGTTTATTGTTACTACAGAAAAGCACTAATTTATTAAAGTTTAGTCACTTTCCAAAATAGTATGAGATTATGCTGATAATTACAGTCAGTGTTTTTCTCATTGCCTGTTAACAAAGGAGGGTGAGTAATGGCTAATATTCTCCGCCAAAAGAGGGAAAATCGCTGTGGATTTTTTCCAATTTAATGGCTTTTTATAGACTTTTAAAAACTCAATTTAGCCTCTGCCTTTATGTTGCCTTCTGGAAAAATATTATAAACTGAAATGGCTGGAAAACTGGAACAAAAAGTACAGAAAGGACATAAAATATTCCTAGAATAAAAACATGTCACTCTGGGTGTTTAAATGCAAATTTTATGAATGTTCAGGGCAGGTAAATGTTCCAGGAATTGGAGAAGAAAACAGATGGCAACAATACCTTGTTAAGAATTGCTACTGGGACCAGCAGTTAGCGTAATGGCTATGTCGCTAGACTCCCATGTAGTCGACTGTGGTTCAAGTCCCGTACCCAGTGGTGTAAACTCACGCTGGGCACGTGTGTGTGCATGCCCAAGATCCTGAGAGGAGAATGGAGGAGAAGGGATTGTGGCGTGGCCATCCCCTCTTGGGGGGTGATTTCTCGCTTTCTGGCTCTCTGTCTCTGTCTCTCTGTCGAGCACACGTGCCCTATAGCAAAAACCTCTCAAAAAAAAAAAAAAAAGAATTGCTACTTACTGTCTTATAAAGAGCATCATAAAACATTCTTCTACAGTCTGGGCAGAAGTGAATAACAGTGCATGAATGGTAGGTGAAAGGAGCTACTGCTGATGGCCTAATCTTAACTTGGAAGAGCTGATGAAAAGAAATGATCAACTCTCTCTCTCTCTTTTTTTTTTTTTTTTTTTTTTAAGATTTTGCTATAGGGCCCATTCACTCACCAGAGAGGCAGAGACAGAGAGGCAGAAAGTGAGAAATCACCCTCCAGTGGGAATGGCCATGCTGCAATGCCTTCTCCTCTTGGGATCTTGGGCACACATGTACCCGGCATGAGTTTTAAGATGCCAGGTACAGGGCTTTAACCTCAGTCAACTATGTGGAAGTCCAGTAATATAAGTATTACACCATGTGCATGTTTAATTGTACATTATCTGAGTATCATACTTAAAGGTGTAAGGGGGAGGTCAGCTTAGTAATTAATTGCAAAAAGTCTTACAAAAAAAGTGAAAATGAATGAAATAAAAATAAAGGATTATCTGTGTTATTTCTGAAAAATATTGACTTAGAGTATTAAACCAAATAAACATGTAGACTTAAACTAATTCATTGTAAGTTTTCATCAAAGTTAACTAATAAAGAAAATAGAGACAATTGGGTAAGAATTAAATCCTGAGATAAATTAACAAAATTATATAAATAGGTGAGATAAAGGGGTTCTGTTTTTCCATCTTTTTTATAGGGGTTTCGAAATGATTGTTTTACTTTTACATGAAAATTGAAACATGAATTTTTAAAACATTTTTATAAGAAAATATTGGAACACTTTGACAGGGCAGATAAGGGCTCTTACAATTTATTGTTAAGAAATCATCCTATATGCAGAAAACAAAGTACCTTCAATACTATGCTAAACATTAGAAATTTGAAAACAATGTCGTTAATGGGACCAGCAGATGGCATAATGGCAACATTGCTGAAATCCCATGTAGTCAACCGCAGTTCGAGTCCCGGACCTGGTGGCTTAAACTCATGCCAGGTGCGTGTGCAGGTGTGCCTAATTTCCTAAGAGGAGAATGGAGGAGAAGGGATTGCATTATGACCATCTTCCCTGTGAGGGTGATTTCTTAGTTTCTCTCTCTGTTTCTCTCTGATGACTTCACAAGTCCTATAGCAAAAGAAATAAATACAATAAAATTAATTATGAAAAATAATTGCTAATAATTTAGGGAAGAACTTAAAAATTTGCACAAAAATTTCTGTCTTTATAATCTGTATGTGTACACACACACACAGGTACAGAGCCATAATCATGTGGAGCTAATTCTTGTGATTCATGGTAGTTACACTCTATAAATTTGCCTTAAACACGGAACTACTGAGCTTTTACCCTTGTATAAAGTACAAGGTTAGGTTCTAATAAGCCTCTGACCACAACACATTTATCACGGATGAATACATAACCTTGTTTGATATGTGTTTCTATTTAAAGATACATTATTTAATATATATATAAATATCTTACAAATACTTACATATTGTATTTGTTTAGACTAAAACACAATTTTGAGGAGTTTAACATTTACTGACTCTGCACCCTGGACTACAAATTTCTTAGGCTCTCAGCCTCATAGCAAGATGTCAACTACATTTTTTTCTTGTTGGTTGTCAGCTCATGAATTAAAAATTTAGCGCTTTTCTATTTCTTTCACAGCTTCAAGTACTATTCTTGTCGATGTTACTTTAGAACTTTCTGAGCAGCTTTGCATACAGACAAATACGTTTCCTCCTTTTTTATTGACCCACTAACCTTGGACTCAGGGTTGGTGGTACTATATCTTATACCTGAGCAAAGCATATCCGGCACTCATATTTTTTCCTTCTTAACACACAGTAAGCCACGTTGTGCTCAGGGACACTAGACAGCACTACAACTCTGTGTGTGGGAGGCATTTTAATAACAAAGTCACCAGAAAACCAAAATGCAAAAAAAGTGGCAGAAAATAGATTATGAAAAAGATACTTCTTTAAGTGTAAGAGCTGAAACAGGAGGACAGGATGCTGCTCTGTTTGACCTCAGCTGGGAGTGTGCATGCTCAGGTGACACCAACTTTTCACTGCTCTTTTTCTTCTTTTTGGAGAGTTTTTTGCTATAGGGTGCGTGTACTCGCCACACAGACAGAGAGAGACAGAGAGAGACAGAGAGACAGAAAGCAAGAAATCACCCCCCAGGGGGAATGGCCACGCCACAATCCCTTCTCCTCCATTCTCCTCTCAGGATCTTGGGCACGGACGCACACGCGCACAGCGTGAGTTTTAAGCCACCAGGTCCGGGACACGGACCATGGTCAACTACGTGGAAGTCTAGTGACATAGGGATCTTGGGCACACATGTACCCGGCATGAGTTTTAAGATGCCAGGTACAGGGCTTTAACCTCAGTCAACTATGTGGAAGTCCAGTAATATAAGTATTACACCATGTGCATGTTTAATTGTACATTATCTGAGTATCATACTTAAAGGTGTAAGGGGGAGGTCAGCTTAGTAATTAATTGCAAAAAGTCTTACAAAAAAAGTGAAAATGAATGAAATAAAAATAAAGGATTATCTGTGTTATTTCTGAAAAATATTGACTTAGAGTATTAAACCAAATAAACATGTAGACTTAAACTAATTCATTGTAAGTTTTCATCAAAGTTAACTAATAAAGAAAATAGAGACAATTGGGTAAGAATTAAATCCTGAGATAAATTAACAAAATTATATAAATAGGTGAGATAAAGGGGTTCTGTTTTTCCATCTTTTTTATAGGGGTTTCGAAATGATTGTTTTACTTTTACATGAAAATTGAAACATGAATTTTTAAAACATTTTTATAAGAAAATATTGGAACACTTTGACAGGGCAGATAAGGGCTCTTACAATTTATTGTTAAGAAATCATCCTATATGCAGAAAACAAAGTACCTTCAATACTATGCTAAACATTAGAAATTTGAAAACAATGTCGTTAATGGGACCAGCAGATGGCATAATGGCAACATTGCTGAAATCCCATGTAGTCAACCGCAGTTCGAGTCCCGGACCTGGTGGCTTAAACTCATGCCAGGTGCGTGTGCAGGTGTGCCTAATTTCCTAAGAGGAGAATGGAGGAGAAGGGATTGCATTATGACCATCTTCCCTGTGAGGGTGATTTCTTAGTTTCTCTCTCTGTTTCTCTCTGATGACTTCACAAGTCCTATAGCAAAAGAAATAAATACAATAAAATTAATTATGAAAAATAATTGCTAATAATTTAGGGAAGAACTTAAAAATTTGCACAAAAATTTCTGTCTTTATAATCTGTATGTGTACACACACACACAGGTACAGAGCCATAATCATGTGGAGCTAATTCTTGTGATTCATGGTAGTTACACTCTATAAATTTGCCTTAAACACGGAACTACTGAGCTTTTACCCTTGTATAAAGTACAAGGTTAGGTTCTAATAAGCCTCTGACCACAACACATTTATCACGGATGAATACATAACCTTGTTTGATATGTGTTTCTATTTAAAGATACATTATTTAATATATATATAAATATCTTACAAATACTTACATATTGTATTTGTTTAGACTAAAACACAATTTTGAGGAGTTTAACATTTACTGACTCTGCACCCTGGACTACAAATTTCTTAGGCTCTCAGCCTCATAGCAAGATGTCAACTACATTTTTTTCTTGTTGGTTGTCAGCTCATGAATTAAAAATTTAGCGCTTTTCTATTTCTTTCACAGCTTCAAGTACTATTCTTGTCGATGTTACTTTAGAACTTTCTGAGCAGCTTTGCATACAGACAAATACGTTTCCTCCTTTTTTATTGACCCACTAACCTTGGACTCAGGGTTGGTGGTACTATATCTTATACCTGAGCAAAGCATATCCGGCACTCATATTTTTTCCTTCTTAACACACAGTAAGCCACGTTGTGCTCAGGGACACTAGACAGCACTACAACTCTGTGTGTGGGAGGCATTTTAATAACAAAGTCACCAGAAAACCAAAATGCAAAAAAAGTGGCAGAAAATAGATTATGAAAAAGATACTTCTTTAAGTGTAAGAGCTGAAACAGGAGGACAGGATGCTGCTCTGTTTGACCTCAGCTGGGAGTGTGCATGCTCAGGTGACACCAACTTTTCACTGCTCTTCCTAAGAGGAGAGGAGAGTTTTTTGCTATAGGGTGCGTGTACTCGCCACACAGACAGAGAGAGACAGAGAGAGACAGAGAGACAGAAAGCAAGAAATCACCCCCCAGGGGGAATGGCCACGCCACAATCCCTTCTCCTCCATTCTCCTCTCAGGATCTTGGGCACGGACGCACACGCGCACAGCGTGAGTTTTAAGCCACCAGGTCCGGGACACGGACCATGGTCAACTACGTGGAAGTCTAGTGACATAGCCATTCTGCTGACTGCTGGTCCTGCTATTTTTTTTCTTAAGAGAGATTTTTGCTATAGGGTGCATGTCCTCACCAGAGAGACAGAGACAGAGAGACAGAAAGTGACAAATCACCCCACAAGTTGGATGGCCACGTCACAATCCCTTCTTCTCCATTCTCCTCTTGGGATTTTGGGCATACACACATGTGCCTGGCATGAATTTTAAGCCACTGGATCTGGCCTCAAACCACGGTCAGCTATATGGGAATCTGGCAATGTAATCATTATACCACCTACTGGTCCCTTTTGCCGCTCTTTACATCTCCACAAATGACCTTGAATTACCACCAAAGCACTGTGATTATTGATTTGGGGCTTAAGAATAAATTTTAGTGAGTAAGTAAACTTGCAAATATGTAATCTGAAAATAACAAGGATCAAATGTACATGCATACATATGAAGTGATTTCAAAATTCATGAAAAATGCAATAAAATATGAATTTTATTTATTCATTTTTAAAAGGTTTTTGCCATGAGGTACATGTGCTCACCAGAAACAGATAGTGAGAGAGGAAGTGAGAAATGAGTCCTGGGGGAATGACCACACCACTATCCCTTTCCTTCTAGAATTTTGGGTATTCACACACAAGTGCCCTGTGTGATTTTCAAGCTGCTGAGTCCAGGATTTGAATGGCAGTCAGTCATGTTGGAGTCCAGCACCTTAACCACTACACCACCTGCTAAACCCAAAGGATGAATTTATTTCAGTGTGAAAAATTTTAAATATAGGGACCAGCAGTTAGCATAATGGCTATGTCACTGAACTCCCATGTGGACCACCACAGTTCAAGTCCTAAACACAGTGGCTTAAACTCACACAGGGCGCATGTGCATGCATGCCCAATATCCGGAGAGAAGAATGGAGGAGAAGGGATTGCAGTGTGACCATCCCCCTGGGGGGTGATTTCTCGCTTTCTGTCTCTCTGTCTCTCTGTCTGTCTCTGTATCTCTGGCGAGTGCACATGCCGGTAGCAAAAACCTCTAAAAAAATTTTTTTAATATGACTAGTTTTTTTACTATATAATATGCATTTCCTATCAACTTTTTAAGATATTTCTTATATATTTGTGTGCATGTGTATTTTTGTGTGTATGTGTGTTTATACATATATATTCATAGGTTTATCGTTTTCTTTTTTTGGGGAAAGGTTTTTGTATAAGGCGTGTGTGCTTGCCAGAAAGACAGAGAAAGAGAGAGATAGAAAGTGAGAAATCACCCCCTGGGAGGGGTGGTTACGCCACAATCCCTTCTCCTCCATTCTCCTCTCAAGTTCTTGGGCATGCATGCACATGCACGAGGCGTGAGTTTAAGCCACCGGGTCCAAGACTCAAACTGCAGTAGACTACATGGGAGTCTGGCTACATAGCCATTACACCATCTGCGGGTCCTTATTCATAGGTTTATGTATCTCAAAAATATAAGCAAATTAGCTAAAGAACATAATTAATGAAATAATTTTGTGGGCACTAGCAAGTAGCATGGTGGATAAGGTGCTGGGTTCCTACAGGGGAGACCAGACCATGGTTTGAGTCCTGGACCTGGTTGCTCGGTTTCTCACCTACCCTCTCTTCTCTGTCTTGCTCTATGGAGTGCATACACCTTTCAGCAAATTGGAAAATAATAATAACAAATAAAATTAAATAATTCTTTTTTTTTTTCCTTAGATTTTTGCTATAAGGCACAAGTACCTGCGGAAGAGACAGACAGAAACAGAAAGCAAGAAATTGCCCCTCAAGGTGATGGACATGCGACAATATCTTCTTCTCCACTCTCCTCTTGGGATTTCTGGCATGCACACACTTGTGCCCAGCATTGAATTGTAAGCTTCCAGGTGTGGAGCACCCCCGCCCTAACATGGCACCGAGAGCACCCAGACCTCTACATAAACAAGCCCATATTTGGTTATTGTTCCTGTTCCGGAACGCGTAGGCACTGCCTCAGCCTATCAGTGCTTGCCTGGTGGCAAAAGAGGACTGGTTTGCGGGACGGATATATAGGGAGCCCGGGTGGGCTGGGGAAGAAGAGGAAGAGGAAGAAGATTGTAAGAAGCCTGGGGTAATAAAGCGTTCTGGAGGAGACCTTGTCAGCGTCGTCACTGAAGCGACATCCAGGTCCAGAACTGGAACTGTGGTCAACTGCATGGGAGTCCAGCAATGTAACCATTACACCATCTGCTGGTCTCTAAATAAGTAATTATTAAAATAAATAGAATCTGAAAAAAGATTGTACATGAAAATCATTAGTTCTCTTGTACATGAAGAAGGAAGATTCAATTATAATAACAATAATAATAAATGCATTAAAAGTCCACTGATAAAAAAATTTTAATATTTAATATTTTTAATGTTTAATTCTCAATATTTAAAATAAATATTAACTTTAATTATGTACTTAATTGGTTAACTCCAATAAAAGTTATTAATACCTGGGACCACAGTTAGCATAATGGCTATGTCGCTAGACTCCCATGTAGTCAACCACGGTTTGAGTCCTGGACCTGGTGGCTTAAACTCATGCTGGGTGTGTGTGCGTGTGTGCCGAAGATCCCAAGAGGAGAATGGAGGAGAAGGGGATTGTGGCATGGCCACCCCCCTGGAGGGGTGATTTCTTGCTTTCTGTCTCTCTGTCTCTCTCTTGTCTTTCTGGCAAATGCACGCACCCTATAGCAAAAAAAAAAAAAAAAGTTATTAATACCTTACTTGGGAATATTTTTAAATATTTTTTTCTGGAAAAATATGTAGGAAATGGCCAACCCATCTTTTAAAAGAGGACTATCGTGGCAGAATTCCTAGAAAATATAAGAAATTTTAGTTTACAGGAAAAAAATGGAGTATAGTATGTAAACCTGGAACACATCTTATTATACATGAGCACTCACTAAGTACTAAAGAGACATAGAATCTTACCAATTAAAAAAAAAAACAAAACTTAGTCAAAAAATAGTGTTAGGTAAAGGGGCTCCTTACTAATGAATATTTGTGTGTATTTACACATATTTTATTAGAGTTTCATATCATATACTCTTTTGATATTAAACATAGATACTGTTTGTTGGTTTTGTCTCTTTTTCAATTTGCCAGAGGGCACCTGCGCTTGCGGGATGGTAGAGAGAAAGAAAGAGAGCCTCCCATCCCATGGCGGGTGGTCACACTGCAATTCCTTCTCCTCTGTCCTTCTCCTGTATTCTGGGCATGCATGAACACCTAATGTGTGTCACAGGCCCCTGGGTGCAAGATTCGAACTATACAGTAGGCCGGGCTCGCCCCACAAATATTGTTTTACAAGCTACTTAAAGCCTCTGCATATTTGTGAAATCAGGCAGTGGGTCTATCACTGTGTAAAAAAAATAGAAAGGCTTGTGCATGAGACTCAACAGACGCAAGAATGCTAACTGTGCACTTTACTTCCACATCCATTTGTAGTGAGAGCCAGTCACAGCAAATATTGGCAAATGCTGCAGATCAGGTGTTTGATTTTGGTTTTCCATCCAAAATATCAGTGTTACAGAATTCCCAGCACATGATGGCTCACGGCTTATATAAATGTCTCTGGGTTATGAAATATGTGATAATCCAAAATAATTTCTAGTGAATAGGAATTTCAAATAGTATGAAGGAATGCTTTCTGGAAGATAATATATGAAATTTTGTCTGACATAGGGAGAGCATTGTAGATTGAGAAAGGTATGGAGTTATCAAGATATAAAATACTTAGTGTTGCCAACTCAGATGATGTGAATGACCCAGAACAGTACACTTAGCTCAAACCACACCTCAGAGCCATCTGAGGCACTTGCTGGGCTCCCCTGTCCTCAGGGTTTATGATCTAATTGAGCTGAAATGGGACCCCGGCATCAGTGTTTGTTTAAAAGCTCTTAAAGTGATTCAACTGTGCAATCAGGTATCCTAGAGTAACTGTGTTCTGTATATGATTAGGGACTTAACCTCAGAGTTCCCATTTTTGCTGAGATGTACTTTAGTATAAAGTTTTTTTGTTTTGGTTTGTTTTTTTTTAAGACATTAATTTTTGCTGTGAAGTGCATGTGCTCGCCAGAGAGACAGAGAGATAAAAAATGAGAACTCACCCCTTGGGGGGCTGGCCATGCCATAATCCCTTCTCCATTCTCCTCTCAGGATCTTGGGCACATGCACACATATGTCTGGCACGAGCTTTAAGCCACTGGGTCTGGAACTTGAACAACAGTCGACTATGTGGGAGTCCAGGGACACACATAACCATTACGCCGCCATTTGCTAGTCCCAAAGTTTTGCTTGCTTTAAAAGTTGCACTTAATACTTAGCAGGGTGGTGCAGACAGTGGGGTGCCATATGTGATATTAAAGTCAGGTGGAAGGCCTGAGTTCAAATCCCAGACCAACCTAAACACACCAAGTATAGAAGTGACTTTTATAATCCTTGCTAAGTGGAGGAGTAGGATGGGAAGATGAAGGCATGGTGAGAACCTGTCAAAATACCTTCTCTCCCTCTCTCCTTTCTCTCTCTCCTCTCAAGAAAAAAAAAAAGGTTGTACTTTAAAATCCAATCTTTGTGACTCTGAACTTAATAGATTTACAAAAGAGAATGTGGTAAAGGAAGGAAGGAACTCTCCTTTTCTCTATCTTTCTGTCTCTCTCTGGTGAGCCACAAAAAAAAAAAAAAAAAGGATAAATGCTATAGGGAAAATAAAATAAAATATATAGAAAATGTAAAGAGAGTACAATGTTAGGTGGAATGGTGGAATTATCAGGAAAGCATGACAAGGTGAAATTTAGATAAAGACTGAAAGAAAGAAGATTCCATGGGGTAAATATTCCCAGAAAGAGCAGAGTAGACAGATTAACTGCCTTGTCTTGGAATTTGCTTGGATGTTCATGAACTAAGAAGGAAACCTGGGACCGAAAGAGAAGCGATGAGGACAGGAAGGTCACAGAAGACTGGAAAGAAATTTTTGCACCATTATAAGGGCTCCATCTTTTATTTTAAATAAAATTTAAAATCACCAAAGTGCTATGAGCAATGGATGGATCTAGACTGTAGCCTGGGAGAAAATGTCTAGCAGAATAGAATGAAGAGGGACTGAGCACTTGGGAGACTAGCATTTGTCCGTGAGAGAGGAGGATAACATAGGTAGGATCACACCAGCAGAGGTGCTAGAAGGTAGAGGGTGCTGGCCTTGCTACAATTTTGTGAGGCCAGAGAGGAATCAGAGATGGCTCTAGTATTGTTGCCTGAGTAACTGAAAGCATGAAGTTGCCATGAACTGAGATGAGAAAGTTTTCCAAGCATAGATAGGATGAGTGAAGGTAGGATTTTGAGTTCAATTAATTGGTGACCTTGACAAAAACACTTTTAATGGAGAAGTGAAAATTAAGGCTGCAAGTCATAACTGAAAAGGATGGCAAGAGAGGAATTAAAGGGACTGAGTTTACCCATTTGGTTTTACTGTAGTTCTGCTGTAAATAAAATTGTTCTATTATAAAGGAAAGAAAAAAATAAGGTATCAGTTGGAATATAAAATTTGTGCCAAGACTTTTTATCCATGGAACATGTAAGAATATGTTTGTTTGCTGGTGGAGAAAATCACTAGTAGGGAAATATTTTTGATAAAGAAGTAACATAAAACAAATTCCTAGCAAATACAAGCGGATGTACTATACAGCTAATTTTACTTATTTATTTATTTAATTTATTTATTTACATTCATTCACTATACATCATTACAGCATACAAAATGAGATTTTCCATCCAGAATACACTGTATATTCATTCAATCAAGCAAATGAATCTTATGCACTCATTTAAAAGATTTTTTTCTAATGGAAGTAGACTCCTGGATTATTTAATAGTCTGATTGATGAAAAGGAATGAATTGTAAGAACTCATTGAAAAATATTTAAATTGAAGATTTGTCATAAAATAATAATGATTTTAAAAAATGTAGCCCATGCTATAAACATCAATAACAAACTGCCTATTGTCTTCTACTTATTGTAAAATTAATCACTGATAAGAGTAAATTATAGAGTATATGTGCTAAAAATCCATTATAGATTTTTCCTATTGGACAGCAATCCCTCAAATTAACATGGCATTGATGGCATTACCAATATTCAAGTTAAAATAATCTTTCCTAAAATATTAATAATTCAAATATGGATTGGATTAGAAAAGCTAAAAACCGATTAAATTACTATTGTATTTACTCTAACTTATTTAAGTTATAGAATATTTTAGTCTTATTTTCCAAATTTTTATATATAAAATATGTGATGATTTATTTTACCTTACATAAATGTTTATAGTTATGTCTAATTCTATATTTATTATTTTGTATTTATTTTCTCAAAGAAGGTCCCTGAAATTTATAAGCTTCAGCACCACAAAACCTAGATCTTCTCCGTTGGCAAGATGTCCTCGAGAGGTTTTAAGAGAATCCTGGCCCTGCCCAAATGGTGCAGGTGGTGGGGCACCACTGCATGGTCCTGGAGCACTAGGGAAGGCCCTTCGGATCCTGGGTTGACCTTACTGTGTCAGGCACACCTGTGGACACACCCATTATCCTCACTTGCTGGAGGACTGGGAGGAAGACTGCAGCATGACAGTACCCGGTCAGGGGTATCTCTCTCTCTTTCTCAATACACAAATAAACTTTAGATGAAAATAATAGAATCTAAATAGAAGGAGAGATTCAGCCATTGAATTGTAAGAGGAGGTAGAATACAGGGACAAATACTCAAGGAAGTGGGAAGAAGAGGTGATGAGAGAGTAAGTTTTCTGGTAGCTTAAATCTTCTCAATGAAATAGGCAAGAAAGACAGCAGAGAATGACGATGAAAAAGAAAGTGTTAGAAGTTGGAAGTGAGGAAATGGCATGAAATCATTGTCAGGGTGGAAGAGTGAATGGACCTGGGAAATATTGATTACTGAGCAGCATTAAGA